CCAGGTGTATATAATGAACACCATTGCTAAGATCCAAAGTCAAGTAGGATAAAGATGAGGTTCAGTATTTTCACCAAAAGCTCTTGTTTAGGTTTAAGTATCCATTCTGAAATATTTCAACAGAAAACATTTACATTTGCAAGTTGAAAGTTTCCTTAAAAAAAATATAGAGCCATGCACAGTAAAGATCCACAACAGACCAATTAAATGGATTTCAGCCACACATAATGTTAATTGCTTACATGTGCTGGTGGAGTTATGATTATACTGACATTTTTTTGAATAAATACTTAATATTTTTTTGCAAGCATGTTACAAAATGAACTGCAATTCTCCATTATAAAAGAAAGGCCTTATTCTGTAGTTTGTTCTTCTCTTGGATTACTGATCAGGGTTGGAATTCCAGAAACCAGTTAAACTGGGTGGTATACGGCAAATCCAATCTTAAATTTCTTTTTTTTGTTTACATTTCAGGGTAACAATATTATTAGAGATCTAGATGATTATTTCATTACAGTGTTTTTGCAACTACCACCAAATTAATTATGATCTTAGGTTGTCACAGACAGAAATGTAATAGATTCTTAAGTTTGTTATTGAATAATGTTTTACTTTTCTTGTTAATTTAAAAGAAAGTTTGCAGTCATTGTGCTTTTTTTTTATGTGTAAAATGTGGATTTGGAATCAGAAGTAGAAAAAATATAAAATGCTACTCGGTGTAAAAAGTAAAAATGATATTTTTATGAATTTTAACAAATTTAACTGTTGCTGTTCTCAGAGTTATCATTGAAAATAAAAACGACAAGTTCACCTAATCACCAGATGTGGTTGTTCATAAAGCAAAGTGCAAGTTAAAAGTGTATCTTGTTAACTAGAGAAAGAAGTGTTTGAAACTTCTTAAACCCGAGCAGATGCTACCAACGTCTGGCCGAAACTCCCAACTTACCCATCAGACAGTGATAGTGCCCGATGCATTTATGGCTCCTTGTCTAAAAACTTATTGAAACCATATTATTATCCACAAATTTAAGAAAATTAAAAGTTTATAAGGTATGGTGATAATTATTAGGAAATCATGAAAATAATTTCCGGCAGAATGAGCAAAAAATTATGGGTTTAAAGAGATAAAAAACAAATCAGAATAATTCATAATCTGCTTTCTGTAATGTAATATAGTTTCACCAAAAAAAGATATTACAAGAGTGAAAAAAAATATAGTTTCTTACTTAACTTTGGCTAAAACAAAAGAAAAATATTCAGACTGTTTGTTTTAAAAAATGCAAGTTGATATACAAATTATTTACAGTCATTAACTTTCTTGAATAACTTGACCAAAAATAGTTCAAATCTTCCAGTGAAACTAAGTTTAGACTGCATTTACTGAATCGATTAAAGGTTTTATATGTTACACTGTAGATTGCTTTTATTTTAAATAAACCTGATGATCTTAGCTTAAATGTCTTTAGTTATTTTGAGCTAATACGAGGTTGATGATTTAATTACCACACCATTTAAGTTATCAATTTTAATTCAGTATGTTTTCATTGTCTTTGTTCTTTTGAAGAAGTTTTTGCAATTTCAAATTATCATTGTATTTTCAGCCCAAACTGTATGCTGGAGAACTCCTGGATATGGTGGCTTCCCATTTTAACTTAAAAGAAAAAGAGTATTTTGGTTTGGCATTCCTTGATGATACGTAAGTGTATTTAACTTAATGTAGTCTTAACTTATATCTGTATGATACCAATTCTTCATAGTATAGTGGTTTGCATTAGTGGACTTCCATTTGTATAACGATTTAAGTTGATCAACCTGTTATAGAAAATGGAAGAGCCAGCTTTAGGCCTATGATTTTGTAACACAGAAAACAAAACATGAAAAAATAGCTTCTAATTATGAAAGTGAATAAGAAGCTACATTAATTTTTTTCTTCTTGCCCCATAATTTAATACATATAATTCATGCTATATAATTTTCAGTATTTATTTCACTGTTGTTAAAGTGGTGACCTCAACAAACTGTTTACTAGTGGTCTGTCATGCCAGCTAAAGTGCTGACCTCAACAAACTGTTTACTAGTGATTGCCCGGTATGGCCAGGTGGTTAAGGAGCTCGACTCGCAATCTGCGGGTTTGAATCCCCGTCCCACCAAACATGCTCACCCTTTCAGCCTTGGGGGCATTATAAAGTGACGGTCAATCCCACTATTCATTGGTAAAAGAATAGCCCAAGAGTTGGCGGTCGGTGGTGATGACTAGCTGCCTTCCCTCTAGTCTTACACTGCTAAATTAGGGACGGCTAGCGCAGATGGCCCTTGTGTAGCTTTGCGCAAAATTCAAAAACAAGCAAACAATACTTGTGATCTTTCATGATAGCTAAAGTGCTGATCTCAATAAGTTCAGAATCAGCATTTTCTTCTGTGAAGGAATAATTTTATTAAATAAAGCTAAATTTAAAAAGTAAATATCCATTTCATTACCCACAAATAATTTGTTAGTTTCTTTTTAATCTTCAGTTTGTTGTGGGTTCGTCACTTTAGTATTATTGATGTAAACACCATTTATCAAGGTGATCAAGTTAATGTTGTGTCAGACAACTTTGTAGCTCTGATGTTGTTGTTCAGAAATTCAATTTCACATGCATGTACATAAAACTGGAATATATGTAACATAAGATTTAGGAGGTGTCAGTTTTGACAAATGCAAAAGTGAAAGATGAAATTTAAAGGTTAGATTTTAACTTAAGTTTTATTGATCAGTAGGCCAAGCTTATGATTAATTCACTGTTGTTGCTATTTTTCAAATGCCTATGGTAAAAAAAAACGGAAAGGCTCCTTTCGTTGACCATTGTCCCTCTCTGGGACAGCGGTAAGTTTACGGATTTACAATATTAAATCCAGGATTCCTTCCCCCGCAGTGGACACAGGAGATAGCTCAATGTGGCTTTGCTCTAAAGCAAATCATTGGCTACAAAGATGACAAGTAACTTTTATTTTGTATTTAGAAAGAAATGCAATAAAGCAAATGGAAATATAACAAAGCGACTAAGAAAAAAATTGTTGTTAATATTAAAGAAAAACAATCTTCTTTACATGATTTTTCATTATAATTAAATGCAAATTCCAAATTATAACGTTTAACTATTAAGTACGATCATCAACATTATTTAATTTCGTTGTGGGGTTGTACGAATACAAAGAAAGTGATTATTGTAAGATTCACTGTGTTCACTATACTAGAGTATAGCCAATCAAAATTGAAGGGGTAAATAATACCATCCCCACCCCATAGTATACCCTACCCTCACATTTCATAGCTAACTGAAATAAATATACTTTGCAAAATCAAGCTTAACTAATAAAGAAGCAGAAAGGTGCATTCAAGGCAGTCAAAAAACGTCGGTAAATTCCATTGTGAGCCAATCAAAATTAAGATCATTCATGAAATGAATTCGTGGCGTATTCATATAATAATTATTGGTAAAAATCAGTTACATTAACAACTTCTAATATATATAAAAGCCAGTACGTTTTGGTAAAACTACGTTCCAACTATGGCTTTTATGTCATGTTGCTTAGCAATAAAAGTATAACCTAATATTGTTGTTAGTCTATGTACTGAAAGTATAAAATGAAATGTATAGACAACAAAACTGGAAAAATATTTGTTGGTTTTTTAATTTAGTCTCCATTGATTAAAGAGGTTTGTTTTGTATTAAAAACGTTGGTGATATAACAGAAAATAGCTTAATTCAGACACGATTTAAGTTCAAAATTGAATTGTTATTTTTACTTTCGTGATTAATTTTATGCACTTGGTTCTAGACTAAGTGATCCGACACTACGTGTTTAGCTTATTATAGCAACACTCACTACACTTATTCCCCCCCCCCCCCAGTGGCACAGCGGCATGACTGCGGACTCACAACGCTAGAATCCGGGTTTCGATACCCGTGGTGGGCAGAGCACAGATAACCCACTGTGTTGCTTTGTGCATAACTTCAAACAAACAAACACTTATGAGGTTTCACGGCACACACACACACACACCTCACGGCCCCCTTGCATCCCCGTCACTAAAATCATAACGGGCAGACAGTAATCGAACTATTCAATCTGGATAAATGCCTTTTGGCTTTTATGACTCCTCCTATTTCGAGAAATCAAGTGTGACGTGACACACACACACTGGCTTTTTATATAGGTTAGATTTGCAATCTATCAATGCTGGTGTATGGACGCGTGTCTACTTGTATGCTGTAATAACTTCATTATGGTTTACAGTTTTATCAGTTTGTGATTACTATATTGTTTTACGTGTTTGAAGAGGAGAGTTTAACAAAGGCTTACTCGACTATGAGTCGCCGAGAGAAAACTTCTGTAGCAATAAATAATCCATGGAGAAGTTAACTTAATGAAACGTATCAAGTAACGCACAATACCTAAATTAAATGGACTAGTACGTCTGAAAATATGGACACATTTTGTGTAAATCTTTGTTTTCTCCAAATTTTGTAAGGTCATTCATTTTTTATTCTGAAAACAACATTTAATAGATTATTCTAACAGTCTTCAAGAAAAATATGTAATTATTTCACGCCTTTCTACAAAAGAACGAATGCCAATTTACTAAACATGAATACCATTAGTGAAAGTACGGTACTTGATGTAACAGTGTGTTAGGTGTTGTTTTTTATTGGTTTAAAAAGTATGGTAAAAATGTTCCAATATCAGTTATCCATGACATTCTTGTTTTTGAACCACGATCTATTCTTCCGGTCTTGCAACTTTCCGTAGCCTAATTTCGTTAATATAAAAACGTTTGACTTCGTGGCGGTTGACATATTTACACTTTATCACACTGCGCTTCAAAAGTAATGTTAAAGTTATTGAGAAAACTCCAACAACAGTATCTTATAATTCGACAAGGTTAGTAAAAACTGATAATTTGAAAAGGGGGAATAGGGATCGTCAATAAAGTACAGAAAAACAAGTTGAATCAAAATGCAAAGATTATATTTTCAAGCCTACAACTAGGGACTCTAGAAAAAGTAAATAAACAAGGCTGGAAATAGTGTCTACATTAACAATTTTTACTAATCTTGTTTCTTAAGTTTTTATGTCCATTTATGGTGAATAACATGTAATCTACATACGTGCATATGCGTTCAGTTAAATGTTACATGTTTTTCAACATTTTAATGTTGCGTTGGCTTTTTTTCCCCCCACCCAACCACCACACTGAACTTATTCAAAATAAATAACAAATGTACAACAAAGAATAAACACATGTACTGGTATGCAACTACAACAAACATAAAGTTTTTCTCAACGGACCATCTTGAAGGCAAAAAGTATATCATGACAGATGTAATGACTGGCTTTCATCTGTAATGTAACAAAAGACGAGTAACAACAAAGCAATCTCATCAGAACGGAATAATGTTTCTTCTAAGATAATACAACACAGAATAATGTAATGTAAACAGATTCATGCTTACCTTGTTAGGCCTACATGACACACATATCTGTTCTTCAACAGCCTGCTGTGCACAATTATCCGCTAGAATAAGGCAACACAAATAATGCATGCAAAATAGACCATAGCGACACACTTAGTATAAGTCACCAATTATCGACAACATTTGCAACCGCTACTTTAACACCAACTATTTAAAAATATCAATAATTATGTGAAATAGTGCTATATGCAGTGGTAATAAATACTAAATACTCATTCACGATTTCAGCTAAGTATAAGAAACAGTAAAAAGTATCACCATCGTCGTCTGAGTAAGGAAATGTACTATGATAATCGTCCACTGTTAAAAACTTGCTGAAATATAGTCGCGGAAATTTACGTAGGGACAGCAAACTCGAGTAACGATATACAAGAGCAAAATCGGGAACCTTTTACATGGCAGTTTCCAATTAATGCATTAGAAAATGTATATGTTGTAGTTTCCAAGTAACATGCACGCCAGGAAAACACCGGATTTTTTATCGCGGAAAGTGAATGACATTAGAAAATTTCGCAGCACGACAAAATTATGGAGATCAATTTAAGTTGAAAACTATTCTCTCAGTTTTTTGCAAAATTCCTGTACAATTCCTCACTACAGTAGATATAACCTGCAATAATTTTATAGTGGAGTCGTAATAGGGATTTGTAGCTTGAGCAAACTGCCAGTAGTAGATCTCCAGCCTTGTTTGCTTATTTATTTTTTGTTGTGGTCCTTATTTGTAGATTTTAAATTATCAGTTTTTAATTATCTTGTATGTTGGCTTTTTTAATGAACAGGATGGGCAAATATATGCCTAGTGTAAGACACAAACCCCACTAAGTGCGTATAAAATTTTACAAGTAGAAAATCAGCCTTTTGAAATAAAATAAATACGTCTAAAACTTCGCTCTAAATAAAGCTTAGTGTATTTTAAAGTAATTATTCATCGAGCCAGGTAGCTTTGTGTCTGAGGCTTCGTGCAAACACGCATTGAACACGCGTCGAGTACAAAAGCAGACGCTCAGAACAACATCGCGTCTACTATGTACTTATGACCACGTAAATCAACTTTCAATGAAAAATATTCAACTTTTAAATAGGTCATGGACATTTGCAGCGTTCCATACAGTATATCTACCTAGGTTTTGGTGCAAAATACCCAACCAATTTTGCTGTTGGCAATGAAACAGTAAGA